AATGCAGACCAACAGAGACAGCGCGCAGAAGTATAAATGCACAGCTACGGGCGTTGCATGCGCCGTGGGTTACGCCGGTCACTTGACGCAGAAGTATAAACCAGGCTTTAGGGTGCTTTTACACCTGTGAATCGATTCAGTTGTTCCGAAACAGGGATTAAAATAGTTACAGTGTTGCTTTTTGCTCTTGGTGCGGTTCGCTGTCACACAGCAAAGTTTCTAAACGGACCAAAAGAGCTAAAACAAGTCATGTGTAAGTAAACTCTCCTCACATTGGTCAGAGTTTAATGGTGCAGTCACAGAAGTGCAAGTTATCTTTGCCAAGGGCACTGACACAAACCTATACCATGACAGACCCTGGTTTTTAGACTTGTTGTTGGTAGAAGTCTGTGATCTTTATTTTTCATCTTTGGTCCACAGCACACAATGTCCATTTCTTCCAAAAAAAAAAAATACCTGAAATACTGATTCATCTGACCTCAGTACACATTTCCACTGTGATGGTCCATCGCAGATGCCTTCGAGCCCAGAGAAGTCGACGACACCTCTGGACACTGTTAACATAGGGCTTCCTTTTGGCACAGAACAGCTTACTGGCATTTGTTGATGTAACTACGTATTGTGGTACTTGACAAAGGTTTGCCAAAGTACTCCTGAGCCCATTTGGTGATATCTTGTATTGGTGAATGATGATTCATATTGCAGTGCCCCCAGAGGGATCAGAGTTGTTCAGCTTAGGCTTGCGCCCTTGTCCTTTACGCACTGAAATTTCCTAGAAGATATTTAAAGATTTCTAGAACCTTTCAATTATTGTATGCACTGCTGAAGGTGAAATATTCAAATGTCTTCCTTTCTTTCTTTGAGGAACATTGTTTTAAACATTTCACGAACTTGTTGGCAAACTGGCGATCCTCATCCCATTGTTGCTCCTGAAGGACTAGACCTTTCTTGGATGTTGCTTTTGTACCAAATCATAATTACAATCACCTGTTGACATCACCTGTTTCAAATCACATTATTATTTAACCAATTTAGGTGATTACTAGCCCTTAACTGCTCCTGACCCAACTTTGGAATGTGTTGCAGGTCTGAATGACAGGAAAGGATGTATATTTACACATAAAATGAAGTTGACCAGACAAAGCAAGAAATGTTTGTGTTCATATTGTCTGCAATGAAATACAAGTCAACTTAAACATGGAAATTACTACTTTTTTATTTCTTTACTGTTCCAACTTTTTCTGATTTGGGGTTGTATAATAGACTGTTTTCACTATCTGTGTTCCTCAGCTTGACCTAGATTCCTCTGTTCTCAGGTTTCTAACTCATTGTTAGTATTATTGATTTGATTTCCAATCCTTTTGTGTATTTAAGTCCTCTGTTCAGTGTTTGCTCTTGTCAAGGTTAAATTTATAGTGCCCTCTTTGGTTGCAGTGTTCTATTTAGGCTTGTTTGATTTTCCATTATACTCCTTGTGCAGTTTTGAAATAAAGGGATGGTTCGCTAAAAAAATAAAAATCCCACCTTTTCTTAACCTTCGACAGGAAAAAGATATTTTTAAGAATGTTAAAAACTAGTATCCATTTACATCCATAGTAGGAAGAAAAATACTATAGAAGCCAGTGGCTGCCAGATTCCAACATTTTCCTCAAAATACATTTTTTGTATTTAACAGAAAAAAGAAACTCAAATAGGTTTGGACCAAGTGCAAGGTAAGCATATGGAGACAGGATTTTTAATTATCCCTTAAAAATGTCAAGTACATTAGAACGTTTTTATTTTAAAATGGTATTTTTGAATAAAAATGCTCCACATTCAGACTGGCAAAATGCATGATTACTTGACTTTTACACCGGTGCTACCAAGTAAAAAAGTTTGTTGAGCCTGACACACAGAATTTATCGACACAGTTCAACACGGTTGTCTAACCGTGCTGAGAATTCTGGGCCAAGAACGGTTTGTAATTGTGCCGTGCCGTTCCAGGCTCAGTGGAGAAACAACAGTAACCGTACCGAGCTGTTCTTAGAAGAGCGACTATTGACATTGATGACATATACAGTTAAAGTCAGAATTATTAGCCCCCCTTTGAATTTATTTTTCTTTTTTAAATATTTTCCAAATTATGTTGAACTGAGCAAAGAAATTTTCACATTATGTCTGATAATATTTTTTCTTCTGGAAAAAAGACTTATTTGTTTTATTTCGGCTAGAATAAAAGCAGTTTTTAATTTTTAAAAAACATTTTAGGGCCAAAATTATTAGCCCCTTTAAGCTATATTTTCTTCCGATAGTCTACGGAAAAAACACCGTCATACAAAAACTTGCCTAATTACCCTAACCTGCCTAGTTCACCTAATTAACCTAGTTAAGCCTTTAAATGTCATTTTAAGCTGTATAGAAGTGTCATGTAAAATATCTAGTAAAATATTATTTACTGTCATCATGGCAAAGATAAAAGAAATCAGTTATTAGAAATGAGTTATTCAAACTATTATGTTTAGAAATGTGCTGAAAAAAATCTTGTCTCTGTTAAACAGAAATTGGGGAAAAATAAACAGGGAGGCTAATAATTCAGGGGGGCTTATAATTCTGACTTCAACTGTATGACATTGATTAAAATCTATGGACAAAGGCCTATTGTGACACCTTTATTAATCCCTCTGCTTTACTCAATGTCTATGTTATCTGCTATAAGTTATTTCATTTGAAAAGATATTTCATTTACGCCACTACAGTTGCAGCTTGTGCAAGTTATGTTGGTATAATTTTTTTTATAGGTATTTAAAAAGGTAGTAAAAGGTATTAAATTCAACTTAAGAATTTCTATTTAGACCCTGATTGCCCAGCGTCCTACTCTTGCAATTACAGTGCTCAGCATAAATAAGTACACCCCTCACACCCATTTTAAATTTCTATAGAATACAAGAATATATCTGTGCATATACTATAGATTAGTCAGTACCACAGCCAAAACTAAAACTAATCTAACACAAAAGAAATTTAATATCACAGTTAAAAATTGAGTACACTCAAATGAATATGTTTAAAATTAATAAGCATGAAAAAATCAAGAGAAACAAAAAAGGTCCTACTTTATATTAATTGGCCTTAACTAAAATGTACTTACACAGGAAGTAATAGTTTGTTACAATGTACTTATTGTGTAAATACATGTATTTACTGTGTACTTATGCTTAATTAAATACATGCATGTAATTACATCTGTAGTTAACTTTTGTAATTACATTTGTAAATACACTGTTGACCATCCCTTACACCTTAACCCTCCCTTAAACCTACCCAAACCACCAAACCTGTCCATAACCCAACCTCTATCCCAACTCAAAAGCACCACAAGTGTTCTCAAATACATTATAATCACAGTAAGTACATTGTATTTATTTTTTGATGTAAGTACACAGTAGTTAAGGACACTTAATATAAAGTGGGACCCAAAAAAATATATACAATTGAGTTGACTCTCATTCATTCATTTTCCTGTCAGTTTAGTCCCTTTATTAATTCAGGGTCGCCACAGCGGAATGAACCGCCAACTTATCCAGCAAGTTTTTATGCAGCGGATGCCCATCCAGCCACAACCCATCTCTGGGAAACATCCACACACAAATTCACTACAGAAAATTTTGCTTACCCAATTTACCTGTATCACATATCTTTGGACTGTGGGGGAAACCGGAGCACCTGGAGGAAACCCACACGAACGCAGGGAGAACATGCAAACTCCACACAGAAACGCCAACTGAACCAAGGCTCAAACCAGCGACCCAGCAACCTTCTTTCTGTGAAGTGACAGCACTACCTACTGCGCCTCTGCTTCGCCCTGAGTTGACTCTTTGTAGTTTTTTTATTTATGCAATAACTCATTTGAATTATCTTACTATTCCTAGAGATGTTAGGTGGCCAAACTTTTAAAGGATAAAGTTATGGTTTTGTTTAGGTGCACTGAAGGATTCTGATTTCTGCTTTCCAATCCGTCTCATCATGGACCAACATTTATCCTTTTCATCATCCTGTTTCTCAGTATTTAACTGTGAATTGATTTTAATTAATGAATAAGTTACCACATTGCTTAATATAAGAATGTTCAGTGCATTTGCCAGTCTCTTTATACCTATTTTCAGAAGCCACCAATCTAGGTCAGAGGTCACGGAGACCTTGAGTGGAACTGAGGGCTGGAAACAACTGTTTCTATTGTTATTTCTACGAGTTAATATTGTCTAAAATGTCTAAAGTGATTTTGCTATTTTTACGGTGAATTATTTAAACGTTTTTTATTCAAGATAGACTTTGTGTAGTAAGCAATTATAACTGCCTGAATGTAGATTATACCGGTTTTAAACCAGTTTTGATAAAGAAGGCTGAGAGTACAGTCAGTCTTGGATTAGAAACAGATTATACTTTAAGTGTGTGTGTTCTATTTGATTGTTGATCCATTTCACAGGTCTGGAGTCAGCTCTAATCAGTCTAAAGGATGCCTGACGTTTATGTTTAGATATTGTTCAGAATTGTACGCACGAACCCCATGTGGAAATTTTCCTAGTTTATCTGTGTTTTAACCAATCAGGTTAGAACACCTGTATGTGTGACGCAGTTAATGACGTTATGTGAGAGTATAATTGTTATTGATTGGTGATTGTAAGCAGAGCGGCCTAGGAACTCATTGCGAGTGTTGAAGCTGGCTTCTGCGAATGAAACTGCAAACTATCTTCAGTAAACTTGATTTATTTATTTAAATCTCTGACTCCGGCTCTTCTTCATCTACCAGACTGCTCATTCTTTGGGTTAAACTGTAAACTATCCCTACGGCACCAACAATTATTGGCTATATTCACTTTGAAGTGGATAGAATTGTTCATTTTTATAAGGGTTCACCACTTATGCTACGCACTTTAACTCGACATCATCATCCCCACTTGTTTTTACTTAACACATCATTTGATTAATGGGTTGTGTTTTGAGATGTATTTCAGTGCTGTTACTTGTTATGTCTTCAGTGTGGTATCCTAGATTCACTTTTCCACTGGTTTCATCAGCAACAGACCTCCTCTCACTGCTTAAATTGTCAGTCCATGAAGAGTAAGAGCTGGAAAGATAAATTAAATACAAGATGAGTTTTCCCCCAATACAAAATAAGACAATTATATTAAAAATAGGACAATACATTCATTAATGTACAAAATGTAAAGAAAAACAATAAATTCAACAGTTATTATTAGACTTTCTTCTTCATTTTATACAATACAAATTGTGTCAAAGCAGCTTTACAGAGATAAAAACCTTGTGAAAGAAGTTCAATCCAGCAATAAGGCCTTCCATAGAAGATAGCGATGTCATTTTTCAAACAGAGTAAGTTCAGTATTGATTCTGTCTCTTCGATACAAATGTCAGTGTTGAAGGATGTTATTTAACTGGGAGGCAGATCTACAGACTTCATGTAAGCAAGCAAAGGCAAAAGCAGCAAGACTCCAGCACTCAGGTGACATAAATGGATTAAAACAAATTTCGATGTGTTGAAAAATAAGCTGAAAATTCAGCATGCACTTGATTGACAGAAAATTGACAGAGCCAATTTAAGGTCTGTGAACCTAAAGGGTTCACTTAGTCACAATCCCAATTCCTTTTTTGTACCCCTTCCCCTTGGCCCTTGAAACAGAGTGTGAAGGGGAAGGGCTTTATAATTTACCACTAAGAAATAGGGCACCACTACAGCACCTGCACACGTCATATGTCATCGTGATCTCTTGCTTCATATGAGATTGACGTTTGAGACCGCTGTAGTATTCCAGTTGTGTTATTTCTGGGTATTTATCTTCAGGAAATCACTGAAGGCATATACTATGTTATTATATCGATTTAATGTGGCAATAATCACATAACTGTACTGTGTATTTACACCATGGCCATATTTATATATGTAAATACATGAAAACAACATTAACATTATAGCAGACACTGTAAAAAGGCCATTCCCAGACCACTTTTCTGACAGGGTATTCGAGCGTCAGAATGTTGTGGGACTATTATTATGGATTATAGACAGTGAAATTTAGCAGTTTTTATTTTAGCGTTTTTTTACAGCAAGACTGTAAAATGCAAACGCCATTATGGATGAACTCATTGCAAGTGTTGATGCTGGCTTCTGCGAATGAAACTGCAAACTATCTTCAGTAAACTTGATTTATTTATTTAAATCTCTGACTCCGGCTCTTCTTCATCTACCAGACTGGTCATTCTTTGGGTTAAACTGTAAAAACTGTTAAACTTCTGTGTTCGTAATAATGACAAAAAATACTAATTAAAAAAATACTGTTTCAAGTGTCGTCCTGAAAAATCGCAGTTTCGAGGGCTATCTAGCCCTTCCACTTAGCCCTACGCCTTCAAGCTAAAGAGAATTGGTAAGGGGAAGGGCTAAGGGGTAGAATTGGGTTTGGGCCTTAAGCACACCATGATGTTTAAATTCTTGTTAATAAGGAATTATTGTGTTTGCATGCCTAGCATTGGCATGGAATAATTATCTGCAGTGTTCAGAAATATTAAGCACTTTTTTACTTATGAATAACTTGTTCTGATGGTTTATTTTATATCTAAGCTGTAAGTACGATTTGTTTTTGTTTGTTTGTTTTGGGTTGCTTTAGATTTTCTACAACCAGCAAAGTGCTTCAGCAAATTAATGATATCCAATTCTTATTATTGTGATTAGTAGGCTCCAGTGATGTAAAGTAGCAAATTACAAATACTCAAATTCCTGTAATCAAGTAGTTTTTTTTAGAAATTGTAATTTACCAAGTAGTTTTAAAAATCTGTTCTTTTACTTTCCCTTGAGTACATATTTAGTGCAGTATTGGTACTTTTACTCCAACCTGCAGTCTCTACTTGATTTTTTTCTTGTCTATGAGGATTAGAAAAATCACTCCTGTGATTTCTGTCCAATCAAATGGAACATAGAAGGTAAACTGCATCATAATAAACTACCTCATGACATTTGTGCTTTATAATTGCAGCAAACTGTTTGGAAGCATTAAAAGTGTTCAAGAAGATGTCCAAAATCTTTTCACGCATTGACCCAGAGAATGTTTAGATGCATGTCACTGATGAGAAGATGTCAGATGTTTACTGTATGATGACAAAATGGCCTTAAAGGTTCAGGACACACTGGAGAACCTTTTTTGTATATTAACAGATTTGTGTGTGTTGAGCATCAGTTAAGACAATGTTAGCACCTGTCAGCTTTAATTGTGGGGAAAACTGGATAATTTTGAGCTTTTGTCAGCTAATTTCAGCTTCCGGGTTTAAAATGATTTTTGGGGCGGATCAAAATCGGCGACGTAGCGCAGTACCGCAAGTGCAATGATGACGCGTCGGTTTCTCATTATTATTCATAGCGGAGTTTTCTTATCCTATGAGAAGAGCCTGCTGCTTAATTATTCATGAGACTTGCCAGAGTCAAGCCCGAGCTGTGAGACACGGACCCAAGCACACAGTTTTTAGCCTTTCATGAAGGCTCATATGCGTTTGTTTCCATGATCCACGGGGTTTGTCGCATGTTTTCCCCATCGATCTTGTCAGGGCCGATCATACAGCAAAGCTGTGTGTGTGCTGCTAGCATTTTTGTCGGGAGAGCAGCACGAGAATTAGAGAATGGCGGACGCTGTCAACCACCAGATCCTGCTATCTACGCTTGAGTCACTGGGCGTTGCGGGCACTGTTATACAATGGTTTAGATCTTACCTCTCTGACAGGTCATTCAGGGTGTCTTGGAGGGGAGAGGTGTCCAACCTACAGCATCTAAACACTGGGGTACCTCAAGGCTCTGTTCTTGGGCCACTTCTCTTCTCCATCTACACATCATCTCTAGGACCAGTCATCCAGAGACATGGATTCTCCTACCACTGCTATGCTGATGACACCCAGCTATACCTCTCTTTTCATCCTGATGATCCCTCGGTTCCAGCTCGTATCTCAGCCTGCCTGTTGGATATTTCACACTGGATGAAAGATCATCATCTTCAGCTGAACCTCGCAAAAACGGAAATGCTTGTAGTTTCTGCCAACCCGACTCTACACCATAACTTTTCAATCCAGATGGATGGGGCAACCATTACTGCATCCAAAATGGTGAAAAGCCTTGGAGTAACGATTGATGACCAACTAAACTTCTCTGACCACATTTCTAGAACTGCTCGATCGTGCAGATTTGCACTCTATAACATCAGAAAGATCCGACCCTTCTTATCTGAACATGCAGCTCAACTCCTTGTTCAAGCTCTTGTTCTCTCCAAACTGGATTACTGCAACTCTCTACTAGCTGGGCTTCCAGCTAACTCTATCAAGCCTCTTCAACTGCTCCAGAATGCAGCAGCACGAGTTGTCTTCAATGAACCTAAACGAGCACATGTCACTCCACTGCTAGTCCGTTTGCACTGGCTGCCAGTTGCTGCTCGCATCAAATTCAAAACTCTGATGTTTGCCTACAAAGTGACTTCTGGCCTAGCACCTTCTTATCTGCACTCACTTCTGCAGATCTATGTGCCCTCCAGAAACTTGCGTTCTGTGAATGAACGTCGCCTCGTGGTTCCATCCCAAAGAGGGAAAAAATCACTTTCGCGAACGCTCACGCTCAATCTGCCCAGTTGGTGGAATGAACTCCCTAACTGCATCAGAACAGCAGAGTCACTCGCTATTTTCAAGAAACGACTAAAAACTCAACTATTTAGTCTCCACTTCACTTCCTAAGCTGCAATTGCCTCTTTGAATATCACACTAATTGTACACNAAAAAAAAAAAAAAAAAAAAAAAAAAAAAAAAAAAAAAAAAAAACTACTAACACTTCCCTTCTTAGACTTTACAGACCTGAAACTTGCCTTTAGTACTTATTCATTGTTGCTCTTGGTTGTGTAAATTGCTTCCTTGTCCTCATTTGTAAGTCGCTTTGGATAAAAGCGTCTGCTAAATGACTAAATGTAAATGTAAATGTAAATGTCTTTTATCAGGAGTTCGTTCACATTCAGACACATCACTGTGCTGCTGTGTTTGCCTAAATCCTCCAGATTACCAGCAGGGCTAATGGTTAAAATAGACAGGTCAGGAGACCTGCTGCACTGAGTCTGCTGGATACAGGGATCGAGGGAGAAGTCCTCATTTATAGGGTTTACATGAACACATTTATCTTTATAATGATATAAATTGTGGTTGTGTATATGAAATTACGAATAACAAATGTAGCAGGGCACTAAATCACTGTTCATTTCTTTGCATTTTAACTTTGTAAACTATAAACTCATGCGTCTCCTCACGGTTTGTCTTATTTTCTGAGCTAACTGACTACAACAGTTGTTCGCTCACGTTCTCCCCTGCTGGCTACGCCCACTCCTGCCCGATGCTCGCGGAGCTCCACGCGGAGCTCCACATTAATCATGCATCTTTTGAAAAAATTCTGAAGTAGACTTTAACCGAAAGTGGGGGGTGTCATGGCCCTTTAAACACCCAGCAGGCACAAGATTTCAACATGATGACAGATTGATGTTGTACGCAAACGTCGTGGAGATGTTGCCTTTTGTTTGGAAATAAAAATCAGGTTGACATCCGAACCCAACGACAGGCCTATATAAGTCAATGTCCAACGTCCAACCTAAAATCAACCAAATATCAATGTCTATTGATGTTACAGCTTGACCTTGTGTGGATGTTTCCACTATGATGTCTATCAGATGTTAGATTTTGGCTGGCATAGCTGACAAATAAATGTCAGTATTTGACGTCAGTATGTTGTGGGTTGAAGATGTTGGCTCGATGTTGAATTTTGGTTACTTTCTTTATCACAACCTAAAATCAACCACTTATCAACATCAGTTGATGTTGTTATTGGTCATCAAAATAACCTTATCCTTAGACGCTGGCTAGACTTGAATTTTGGTCACCTGACATCAAAACCTAAATCTAATTATTAACATCTTATGATGTTCTGTGTCTGCTGGGCAATAACTAAATGCACTACAGAATGTTACGTTTACACACATCCACAAATTACATGTAAACGCATCAGCTTTTAAAGCATAATACTCACTACTCTTGAGTACTTTTGAAAGGTCTACTTTTTACTCATATAACGTTTACAACAGATACTCTTACTCTGCTTGCTTTACATTTTTTGGCAAGTAATAGTACTTTTACTTGAGTATGATTTTTCAGTACTCTTTCCACCACTGGTAGTGCTGCAGGTTCAGTCATAATAGAAAGGTCCCAAACATGCACCAAATATACACAAACATGTCTTACCTGGCTTTATTTTCAGAGCTTGATTCTGTGGAAGAGAGGAAAAAACAACATAAACGTGATTTGATATTTCCGTTTGTAGCCCAAGGCAGCACAAGTCAACTGGTTATAAGCTTGACAAGCAATGACATTTTATTAGCTGGTGCAATAAGAGACAAGAGACTGCAACAAACTTCACAGCTGCATCTGTTTGTCTGCATCTAATATTTTTTCCAGTATTTCGGATTTAAAATACTGTATATTGTATACTGACTTACTGGGCTCTATCATGCACCAGGTGCAATAAGGCACAAGACGTGTTTTGCGCTATTTTTTGTTATTTTCAGACCAGCGCAACAGTAATTTTCACGTTTTGCATCACATTGTGTAAATAGCAAATCCATTTGTGCTACTTGAACTCATTTCTATTTTTTGTTTAGTATGAAATCTAAATAAATGTAAAACATGTAATAGGTTTACAGTTATAACAAGTTTACAATTCTCCTTTGTAAATTTGACAGTACACATTACCTCATGTACCATTACTAGGTCAACAAATCTGCTTGAATTACATTTTAAAGCACAGAGATTCAAAGTACAGAGAACATGTGTTGTTGTTTTCACTGTTGTCAATTCTTAGTAGAATATTTCTCTTTTTTAGCTACTAATAAAGTGTGATTTGATATATGAGTAAAAAAACAGAGAACATTTAGAACAACGACATTGTTAAAAGGGTTTTCCTGTTAAATGGTTAATCCATTTTCCAAAATGATGGCTAAGCACTTTTTGCGACAAGTGAAAGGTGCAGTAAAACCTTTAAACTGCCCCCTTACTGCTGACAGCTCAACCTACTAAAATGTGTCCTTGCTGCTGGTCCAATTTACAGCAAGCACTGCTCTTTTACAACTGCACTCTTTCTCAAATATTATGGTAGGAAAAAACACACACATTATTTAGGAATACGCTATCAATAGACTTTAATCGTGAACACAAATATACAAGAGAATCTAAGGAGAATAAACACACAAACCAACTTTTTCAAATGAAATGAGTGTAGTTAACTCAAAATTTACAGAAAGTTAATTCTACTCGTTTGAAAAGAGTTTTGAACTCAGTGTTGAAGGTAATGGCTTAATTAAATTCCTCATTACTCCAACTTATATAGAGTAAGTTCACAGTAATCATATAGATTAGTTTTATAACTCATATGGTTTGCTGCAACCGGTTAGCTCAAACCAGGGGTGTCCACACTTGGTCCTGGAGGGCCGGTGTCCTGGAGAGTTTAGCTCCAACCCTAATCAAACACACCTGAACCAGCTAATCAAGCTCTTACTAGGTATACTAGAAGCAAGTTGGAGTTAAACTTAGCAGGACACCGGCCCTTCAGGACCGACTTTGGACACTCCTAGCTCAAACAGTTTGAGCCTTAACTTATTGGGTTTTACAGTACTCAGTTGATTTGAGTTCTCTTCATTTATCGGGTTTACTGTGCTCAGATTGCTTCATTTACTCAATTGGATTAAGTTCACAGTACTCACTAGGATTACTATTTGAACTTAAGTGTTTTGTTGCAATCGGTTTTCTCACATGGTTTGAGTTATCTTAACCTTTTGGGTTTTTTGGTGTATACACTATAAATGTAATACGCCAGACCACAACTTTCACCAGCGACCATGCCATATAAACATAAGATTAGATCAAGATTAAGATTAGATCTGGTCAGTGTTTGGACAGTGTCATGATCTAAAACCAGAGATCGCTGGTAAACGCTAACATTCACATGAACTACAAATCCGCCTTGTTACGGACTACATATTCAGTCATGCAACACAAACACACCTGCTCCAAGTCACCAGTGATTGCAAACACTCACACAGCTGAAGCTGCTCGGACTGATTACATGGACTATTTTAACAGCCCAGAAACACTCACTGTGGCTGAGTAATGTTTACTGTTTAGTGAGAGTACAACCTATTTCCTTTTTCTTGCTTTGCCGTGGTTTGATCACTGCCTATCTGTTTATCTCTGTCTGCTGTTAGTGGTGGGCAAAGCGAGGCTTCATGAAACACTAAAACAGTCGAAGCAAATGTGTCGAAGCTTCGAAATGTTTCAAAACCTCCACTCCACGTTGACACCTAGTGTTCATTTCTTATGTATTGCACTGAAACAGCTTCAGCAAAGAACAGTTGAGCAGACTGAGGTATTAAACCCCACTTTGTAGCATTAAACCTTCAAGTGATGTAGTGGAGCGGTTAGAGTTGCAGACTTCCATGCGGGGATAGTGGGTTCGAATCCAGGCTGATAAATATATTTTGAAATGCTTTAATATCAGTTTGAAATTCTTTGTTCTTGTATCGTTTTTGTTTCAACATCGGTCTGACATCTGAATAAACACTTTGTGAATTAATATGCATGCTGGATCAGACACGGTTGTGACCAGAAGTTAACAAGAATTATTTACATTATTAATTAAATTTTCCATAGTATTTTAACGTCTACCCAAACCCTATAAAGCCAACCATCACAGTACTGTAAAAATATTAATTATTGTTTTACAATGTTACAAAAATTATGCTAAATTGATGACAGCTGTATCCTGTCTAGACTACACTGTAAGACAGTAACATAATTTAAAATAAGGTGACGCAGTGGCGCAGTGGGTAGCACATTTGCCTCACAGCAAGAAGGTCGCTGGGTTCGATCCTCGGCTCAGTTGGCGTTTCTGTGTGGAGTTTGCATGTTCTCCCTGCGTTCGCGTGGGTTTCCTCCACAGTCCAAAGACATGCAGTACAGGTGAATTGGGTAGGCTAAATTGTCCGTAGATGAGTGTGTGTGTGAATGTGTGTGTGGATGTTTCCCAGAGATGGGTTGCCGCTGGAAGGGCATCCGCTGCGTAAAAACTTGCTGGATAAGTTGGCGGTTCATTCCACTGTGGCGACCCCAGATTAATAAAGGGACTTAGGTGACAAGAAAATGAATGAATTTAAAATACATAAAATCATGATTTCGGAGTATTTTTATAAGTCGAGATTCAAACCCAAAAGCCATTTGAAGCACAGTAACAACGTGCACACACACGGTCCACTAGGTCATACAAGATAGAAGCTTATTGCTGACCCAGTCACTCAAATGCACATTCTCCAGGTGTCGAAACGCTTCTGAACTGAACATTGCTTTGAAACACTTTAGTCACTGACCTGGGTGTTTCGGATCATGCTTCGGTGCAGTGTTTCGAAATACTTGCGCTTTGGGATCTCGACACTGTGTCGAAACGTCAGTTTCACGTCAGCCATCCCTATCTGCTGTCTGACTTCTGACCACCTGCCTGTGTATCTGACTACGACTCTGGATTGCCCATATACATCTGTTTGCTCCTGTGTTGACTATTGCTTGCCTGACCTCTCTAGTAAACCTGCATTTGGATCCACACCCCTGTTGTCAGCGTCACTACCCCGTTACAGACAGTGGGAATACCAGTTAGTGTAATTTTTTTGTTTATCTTCATGAGTTAGCTTCTACAATTTAAAAAGCCCACTTCAGACCCTAGCTTTAATTTACTTTCAACTTTGTGGTTTATTGCTTATATTTCTAAAAATAAAAAACAAAAGTGCACATTCCCTTGGCCAAAATAAGCATTTGTGGCTGAGAGGACTGATCTGATGTTGTTCTGCTCTAGTTCACAAGTGAAAGGAGAATTTTAGAAGAGCATAACAGTCATTTATGGCACTTTGTTCTACAAAAACTGCAGTCAAGTGTTTACATGTCATCTCGTTCAGATTAGAAAAGGTCTTTATAATCTTTTTCAGTCTGACAATGTTTACAAATTGAGCTTAGTAGGACCAATTAAGGTATCCCATGAAGACTTTTCAGTCTGAGCCGTCATTCCTATTACTAACAGATTAATGGTTTGGATGTAAACCAAATCTAACATAACTTTGACATGCTACATTGGTTTAACAACTTCCAGGAAAGCTTTAAAGAGAATTTTCAAGAGAAATGCAAAAGCCATTTGCTTACTCGTCAGTTTTTTTCTGTAGCAGAGGATCAGGATGAGAACTGCCAGCAGAATGATTGTACACACCGACACTATTACAGCGATCACAACTGTGTAGTCCTGTGTGGGTTTTGGTGACACTGCAAAACACATTTGTTAATTTTTTTAGCCATATGATATACATTTTTCTTTACACACAGCATGATATTTTTCTCTCTTCCCTCTGTGATTGACATTATGCAATTATCACTAATCAGCCAATGCCCAGTTGAGCAGAAAATTGCTTCTATTGGCTGATACTAATTATCGGCCAGCACATCAGTGCTTGTCTAATTAATTATTCCATTGGTTTTACTGTATGTGGATGATCGGGCAGATCAATCTAAAACAAATTTTCAAGCAGCATTTTAGGGAGTAAATCCATTCTGGAGGGAGACTTTTGGGACATGGAGATCTTTTACATGCACAAACCAATGCATTAAAAATGTAAAAGAAAATATTCCACATCAGCACATGACATCTTTACACAAAACAAACCATAAGAAGTGATAATATACAGTTACAGTGCATCTGGAAAGTATTCATAGCGCTTCACTTTTTCCACATTCTTTTTATGTTACAGCCTTATTCCAAAATGGATTAAATTCCTTTATTTCATCTAAATTCTACACACAATACCCCATAATGACAATGTCAAAAAAGATTTTTTGAAATTGTTGCAAATTTATAAAAAATAAAACACCTTAAAAAATCACATGTACATCAGTATTTACAGCCTTTGCTCAATACTTTGTTGATGCACCTTTGGCAGCAATTACAGCCTCAAGTCTTTCTGAATATGATGCCACAAGCTTGGCACACCTGTCTCTGGGAATTTTTGCCCATTCCTCTTTGCAGTACCTCTCAAGCTCTATCAGGTTGGATGGAAAGCGACGGTGTACAGCAATTTTCAGATCTTTCCAGAGATGTTCAATAGGATTTAGGTCTGGGCTCTGGCTGGGCCACTCAAGGACATTCACCGAGTTGTTGTGAAGCCACTCTATTGATATTTTGGCAGTGTGCTTTGGGTCATTGTCCTGCTGTAAAATGAACCGTCGCCCCAGTCTGAGGTCAAGAGCACTCTGAAGCAGGTTTGCATTCAGGATGTCTCTGTACATTGTTGCATTCATCTTTCCCTCTATCCTGACTAGTCTTCCAGTTCCTGCTGCTGAAAAACATCCCCACAGCATGATGCTGCAACCACCATGCTTCACTGTAGGAATGGAATCCAAATGTAACGCCTAGCATTCACTCCAAAACGTTCAATTTTGGTCTCATCAGACCAGAGAATTTTGTTTCTTACGATCTAAGAGTGCTTCAGATGCCTTTTGGCAAATTCCAGGCGGGGAGTGGCTTCCGTCTGGTCACTCTACCATACGGGTCTGATTGGTGGATTGCTGCACAGATGGTTGTCCTTCTGTAAGGTTCTCTTCTCTCCACAGAAGAACACTGAAGCTTAGACAGAGTGACCATCGGGTTATTGATCACCTCACTGGCTAAGGCCCTTCTACCCTGATCACTCAGCTTAGATGGCCGGCCAGCTCTAGGAAGAGTCCTGGTGGTTCCAAACATCTTCCATTTACAGATGATGGAGGCCACTGTGCTCATTGGAACTTTCAGAGCAGCAGAAATTTTTATGTAACCTTCCCCAGCCTTGTGCCTCAAGACAATCCTGTCTCGGAGGTCTGCAAACAATTCCATTGTCTTCATGCTTGGTTTATGCTTTGACATGCACTGTCAGCCCTGGGACCTTATATGGACAGGTGTATGCCTTTTCAAATTATGTCCAATCAACTGTATTTACCACAGGTGAACTCCAGTTAAGCTGCTGAAACATCTCAAGAATAATCAGTGGAAACAGAATGTACCTGAGCTCAATTTAGAGCTTCAAGGCAAAGGCTCAGTTTTTTTTATTTTTAATACATTTTGCTACAATTTAAAAAAATCTTTTTTCACATTGTCATCATGGGGCATTGTGTGTAGAATTTTGAGGAAATAAATGAATTTAATCCATTTTGGAATAAGGCTGTAACATAAAAAAGTGGAAAAAGTGAAGCGCTTTGAATACTTTCCAGATACACAGTACATTAAAGAGCTCTATCTGATTTAACTCACAAATTTATTGCTGTTTGTATAATAAATTAATTTGTTACTTCAGTCTACTTTGGCTTAGCTTCATTGACTTTTTAATCTGTATTTCTTCATTTGCTGTTTGTCTTCGTTTCATTTTCCTGATTGTATTTAAGTTAATTAAGAATTCCCATTATCTTGCAATTGAAGGGTGTTTTTCAGTTGTTTATGCTTTTAAATTCGTGAAATGATCGAGTTTTTTTTTTTAGCATTTTCAAGTTATTTGTTACTATTTTCAATGCAAATATCAAATCAATTTGTCTTTTACAATTAAATTGTGAAGTTAAAAAGAAAAGCTGTCATAAGAAACAAAAGCATCCCCAAATAATGCTTATTCGTTTATTTTCGCATGCTTACCTACAGTAAATTTGACACTGCTGTTTTGCCGAGACAGAGGAGCAGACACAGATGCCCAACACTCGACTGTGGTGCTGGTGTCTGCTTCTAACTTAAGCTCACTGGTGGAGTTAAACAGGTCGTTGGTTCCTTGAATACTGCTGGTGTTGTAGTCGCCTCTGTCCACGCTGGTGCCATTGACCATCCACAACACCGAAGGCTCCGGATACCAACCAATAGCTTGGCAATGGAAGGTGACAAACACTCCCTGTTGAACTGACAGGTCACCCTCCAAAATCCTGACACATCCTTTTTCTACATTTTAAACACAAGAGATTTTAGGTTAGAATTTTCCAGTTGATTGGACTCCAATAAATGAAACTTGCTTTCATCACTATAGTGATCTTTGGACAAGTTTTCAGACCACACAACTTCTCAGCAATGGTAGGTCTAGCCTTTTGATTATTTCTGCTGATGAGAAGCTTGGTTTGCTGTAGTCCAGATTCTCTTATTGAAAGGTTTATCAAAAGTTAAACTGGTGAGTAATCGATCTATTGGTAAGCTCCTCCCCTTTAGCACAAATAAGCCAATGGCAGTTGAGGATCATTTGCACCATGACTGAAACTCAGACATTGTGTACTTTCAGTCTCATTGAGAAACACTGGAACATTCGAAGCCCTCATCAGTTTGATGGTGTTTATGCTACAAAAATGGTTAAACTAGAACAGTAAAGTGCATAGACAAACTTTATGGTGGCTTGAGAAAGCCTAGCCTGACAGTCTTAAGGTAGTTTGAAAGTTTAAATAATTGAAGTAGTTTTGAAAAAGTTTGAAGGCATTGCTAAGTTGTTTAAGGCAATTGCTAGGTGGTTGCTAGGGTGTTCCATGTAATTTTTAAGTTGTTCCTAAGTGATTGCTGGGGTATTCTGAGAAGTTGCTAGGCGGTTGCTAAGTTGTTCTGGGTAATTGCTAAAGCGTTGCTAAGGTGTTTAATGTGGTTGCTTAAATGCTGCTAGGCGGTTGCTAGTGTATTCTGAGTGGTTGCTGGCATGTTGTTAGCATTAGTATGAGTTAGCATGTTGTTAGCATGAATTTAGTATTGTTGTAAAAAAAAAAAAATGAGTGAAAAGAAGAAGAGAGAACCCAGTCCAGGAGACTCGAAACCAGCAGAATTCCTTTATTGAGACGTGTTGGTTAATCTGCAGTCATACAGCGTCTTTAAGATGTCCGTGTCTGCAAGAGCCTACTAGAGGTCCGCAGTCTGCAAGTTCTTTCACGAGTCTCTCACAAGTCTCACACAAGTCTGAATTAAGACAAAGATTTCATGTCTATATTGTGTTCTCAGGAGGAGGGGATTTGGCTAAACAGAGCATGCAAATTAAGAGTTGGAGTCAGCATGGTAAACTGCTCTTTCAGGCTTTGATCTCATCATGTTCTGGAGACAGAAACCGCCTGACCATTTGATCGAAAAGAGAAAAAAATAGACACCCCATGCTGTGAAACTGACAATTTGCATTACTTTAGCTTAGCCTGTAATCAGAAAGACAAAGGTTAAATGACCCTCCTAGCTGGCATGTCAATGAAATAATATAATTAAAAACCAGACAATATAACTTTTCAGTTATACGTAGATTATTGTTCATTTGGAATTAAATGATATAAATTTATATTTCCACAGTATGAATTAACATGTTGCTACTATATTTAGTATGTTTGTTAGTATGTTTCTAGTATGGATTAGTACGTCCTATGTAAAGTAAAGTTTTTTTTTATAATGTAAGTCTGCTTAGGATGCTGTGAGTGGTTGCTAGGTTGTGGCTAGTAAATTGAAAGGTAATCAGTGATTGGCAGGTTGGTAGTCTGAGCTAAATGAGTCCAAACAAGTCTGTATGACAGTCTGAGCAAAGTTATGAGGTCACAAAGTTTGGTCCAATGTTAAGTCAATGAGACTATACCAAATTTTCCCTGTCAATTTTCAGTAGTAGTTTGATCTCTTAGAAAAAAGACATAGCAACTTAATTCAGTATAGTTTGGAGGTTTGGAGTTGTTTGGTTGTTGTAGCATGAACGGTCTAGGAGGAGATGTGTTCTTAAAATAATTGAAGACGAAGAAGAAGAAGTTTAAGTACTATAACAGTATTTTGGCTTTCTCAAGCCACCATAATAATGTTCTTGGGGTACCTTTAACAGTAATTTCAGGTATCTTGAGAGGAAAGGAAACGGAAATTGTTGTATTGCATTTCCTAGACCCAAACAAGACAAGGATATATACATTTGTTCTAAAGTAAGCAGTGCTTTTATCTCTGCTAACATTGCCTACATTTATTTATTTACACAACTGAACACTGTAACGCACGCTGTAAAAATCATTTTAGGGCGTTCACACACATGTATTGTGTTGGTTCCCTTGCTTTGGTCTGGACCAAACATGTTTTAGTTTTGTTTTGTTTTTTGGTGTGCTTCACTGTCACACTGCCCATTGTGAGTAAACCAGATATTGTAAACATAACCCCACATTTGCTAAAGTCAGCCATTTATTAGACAGTTATTGTAGGGAAAAGGAAATTTATTTTTCTTACCTTTGTGTCTTTATTTTTTAATAGAAAAAATTTAATTAAAAATTAATTAATCAATCTTTTTTTTTTTTTGTATAATACCATATATTAACCAAGCACTTCTTCTTCTCTCACTATGTTGCATACTTCTTAGAAGGAACTGCTGACAAGAGGGAAATAGCAGAATAAGAATAAATATAGTGCGGGGTCCTTGCTCCAATCTAACAAGAATTCTAGACATGTCACAAGGAGCTGGAGGTTTGTAAAAGGTGAGAAACATATTAAAGATGCACTTAATTTTCAGTTCTGGTATGCAGAGAATTGTTGCAGGAAAAGGAAGTATGTTTGGGTACAACAGCCAAAGGACTCCAGAATGACTCTGACATAACAGAGAAATGTAAGTTAGTTGTAAACCTCCTGAATGTAATTTGTATATTGCATTTGGGTAACGTAGCCCAGAGCTCTGTCCATTAATTATTAATTTGTATCTAATAAATTACTAATATTTATGAGATTGAAGAAAAGCCTCGTCTGACCTTTTTTATTGAACACGCATGGAACTGGCTAGGTATTCCAACATTAGCATCTCTGTTTATTTGTCCAAGAGCAACAGTAACTATGGAAGACGGGGTTTACATCTCTTTGACCTTGATTACAACAGCCTGCTGTGTTTTCAGTCACATTAGAATGACAAAATCATTGAAATCTGGAAAGTCTGTCAGCTTGTTAAATAGGCTTTGTCACAGAATTTGCCATCAAGTGCAGATAAACACCAGTATCTGAAAATGTTCTCTAATTTTGCTCACTTTTTTTTTAATATCACATGTTAGTTTTTTTATTGTTTTTTAGAAAAATTTGTGAAACATGCTTAGTTCTTTTACTCCTGTTAGAAAAACTTCATAAAGGACCATGTAAATATAGAAAAATGTAGGTTATTTTGATTCTCCACGTGAAACGTTTTTCCTGATATAGAATGGGTTCTTTAGTTCTTTCGTTTTAAATGCTTTATTTAAGAAAATAAATGCTTCCTCAAAGCCTGATCAAATTTCATATTTAATGCTGAAGCTGACTGATTGTTTTTTAAAGTTATGTATGGATGATCAAGTAAACCTAAGTTGTTTCTCTATCTCTCCATTAAATGCTAAGAGGATCTTAATCTAAGTGGAAATGTTTAATTATACATTTGTTTATTACAATCAATTGTCGGGCAGCATATATTACAGTAGGTTTAGGATAACTTTTTTCCCCAAAAATGATCATGATGTTAATTTAGTGGTAAAATATTTTACTGTAGGTTTAGCAGTTAAAACAATTAAATGTGTGAAAGGTTTTGCATAAAAAGCAAGCTCTTGCACTTTCTTTTAAATTCAAATGAATTGGTTTGGTGTTTAATTAAATGTTCTGATAGCATTCACACATTTCATGTGTGACTTATGTGTCCAAATACTTTTCAGGCCATTTTATGTGGATGTGTGCTTTGTTTTTTTCTTTCCATTAAAGGCAGACAGTGATTGCTTTCTTTTGAAGTGATTGATGGTTCATAATTGACTGCTTGATGTGACTTTTAAATGTGTGACAGCTAAATTGTCTTTTTAAAAGCCCACATTATGGGCTTTTTATTCACCCTGGAAAAAGAAACAAAAGGTAAAACAGTGAATTGTTATAGACAGCTGGGTAATTACTGTAGTAGAACTCTTCACTTTCTCTCAGAGAATTTACATGACCACAGCAGTTCATTTGTAAAGGCTTTACTGTGTGTAAGGCTACCGGTGTCTTATACTGAACCACATAAATCATGTCATGGACCTTAGAGTCCTCGGTTTAAAAAAAAATCTAGATTTAACCCTGCACTAAATGCACAATGCAGTTATTAGGGGGAAAGGAACTCTGAAGCTATTTTAATGAAAGAAAATAAACCAAAAGTGGCTTATTTCTACAAATTCATAAAATGTCATTCATATGAAAATATATAATTGTTAAAAGGAGCCATCTGTTGTTTGAATTTGATAAAAATTAAAAAATACAGTTGATGTCAGAATTATTAGCCCTCCTGTATATTTTCCCCCAATTTCTGTTTAACAAAGAGTGATTTTTTTCAACACATTTCTAAACATAATGAGCTAATTTCTAATAACTGATTTCTTTTATCTTTGCCTTGATAACAGTATAATATTTTTAGCCAATTCAAATGTTTTCACTCGATTAAATGGGTGTTATCAGTTGTTATCAGCTTATAAATATGAGCCAGTAGGGGCCTTCTGCCATCCATCCACATGGTTAACCAGCTATATTGTAGATCACATTAGAGGTCTGCATTTCCGAATAAAATGTGGTATTAGTCAGTAATTCTATTCATATATATATATATATGAACTGAACTGAACTGAGCTAAACTGAACTGAACTGAAATTAAACACTAAAACCTGAACCACACTGTTCCAGTTACTATGACCATTTATGTGAAGCTGCTTTGACACAATCTACATTGTAAAAGCGCTATACAAATAAAGCTGAATTGAATTGAATTGAATATATATATATATATATATATATATATATATATATATAGAGTTCAGATGCAAAGCCCTCTAAATCCATCAGACCTCTTGATTGGGTTCAGAAGTTTCATTTTATATGTAATGAGAAGGTTATTATCTAGTAAATAAAATAACTTTTTTTCAATAATGTCACTTTAGACAATTCTTTGGTTTTTAACAGGGTAGATTTTCTTTTGCGTCAAAACCAGCTAAATCCACGTCTGC